CACACACACACACACACACACACACACACACACCTCTCCCTCCACCACCCGATGTTTGCAGCAGACTGTTAATCCCTTTATAAACCCAACGTGAAATACCAACCAGAGGGACGGAAGCAGCGCTGGATAACATGTTCCATCACATCCTTATAATGCAACGTTGCTGCTGACAGTGTGTTAAAACATATCGAAAGGCCAGCTCTGCTTTCACTCTCACTAGTTCACACATTATGAGGGTCCCATCCTGTAATATGTGCTGGCTGTGCTGCTACAAGGGCACAAACATATGCAGAAAAACACTGAAAAATCATTGTCCTTAACACCTGAAAAAATTGGAAACAGATGTAAGACTGAGACTATACCTATATGGACACTCGGAGAGGACCGACCTCCGCAAAGGCCCTATATCTCGTCATGTTAAAGAATCTGCCTGTTTATCCAAATCCGCTTCAAAATGTAAACCAAATCACATGAGTTGAGTTGTTTTTGCAAAATCTTGCTGGCAAAGAAATGCAGACAAAACATAACTGCCAGCAGGGATGAAACCTTATTTACCCCCACTTTCTTTTAGTGAGCAGAATTATGGAAAAACTTCTGGTTGGATAACCACCCAAAATTCAGTTAAAACTCTAATATCGATCAATCGATCATTATGTGGTGATCAGTGTTGATAATGTGCCGGTGGTTACAAAAACATCAATCACACAAATCATAGACGTTGTGTCTGCATGTCAGCGCAAATAAAGAGGGAGAGAGAACAGGAGCAAGGTTGGACTGGATATAAATAATTCAATATAATATATAATAGGTGCCAAGTAAGGGTATATTAATACGGTTGAGGCGTAGAGTCATAGAAAGTGACAGTATATGGTGATGCAATGATGTGGCTCTATGGTGACTCCAGCCCCTGGAAAAGTAAAATGGTTCTTTGAAGGTTCCCATGCTGAACCAGCAGTTTTTGCATAATCCTGTTATCTGATGAAGCATAACCTCCTTGACAGAGGAAACTGTGACTGTTAAATGTTAATGTTTGGCACAGTTCAAGAATTTACTAGTCCATAGAAACTGAAGTGAAACAAAGAAATGCACCTGAGTCATAAGACGGAAGGCGTTTTGGCATTTGGACGAGAACTAACACTGCTGAATGGGTTTTTAATTCCCTCCTGCTGCTGTTACAGACAACTTAATAACTCCTTTCATGTCCCTCACCTCTACACATGTTCTCATTTACAATTCACCCAGGTTCCTACATGAATATTGAATATCAGCCAACCTGCCACTGAATAAATGTAACTGTCTGAAAATGCCAGCAGAACTGTCTGATAGAGAGGCATAAATGAGCAGAGCATTGTTTAAAAAAATCATCTTAAAATATGAAGAGTTCAGACATCTGAGAACCCATCAGTAGAATTAAACAAAAAAAGAGGCAGCATAGACGACAGCGATGGAAGATGCTAACCCCCCCACATATACATTAATCAGACACAGCGGCCTGATAGTCCACAGCCCACAAAGTGTGTGTCATTCACTGTGATCTAAGTAGACACTGAAGCTAAAGTCTTTTCTGCAGCAAAGGATGGAGCTGAGTTTTTGGTTCGGTAACTGAAACCAAACATGGCAGCTAATCTGGAGTCCTCCACAGATTTCACCTTGAAAATCATTGAAATTAATAGATTGATACATTTGTTGCAAGAACTTGATGCTGCAAACAGAATGCACTATTTACAGAAGTGTTTGTGCTTTTTTTCTCTCTCTGTGTATAAACTGTGCTGCTTTGTACACTTTGTCCATTTCTGATTACTGGGCACTGAATGCTTTGATGGCATTTGATGGCAGAGATATCACCCTCACAAGCCCAAAAATGTGCTCTGTGACCTTTGACCACCAAAATCTTATCAGTTCGTCCTTAAAACCAAATTTGTACCAAATTTGAAGAAATTACCTCAAGGCGTCCTTGATATATCACGTTCACGGGGATGGGACGGACAGACGGACAAACAGACAACCCGAAAACATAATGCCTCAGACCACTGGCTGTCACTGGCACAGAGGCATAAAAATTACTTGTCGGGACATTAGGGACTCTGTAGTACACAGTAGCATTGTGCATGTCTATGTGCTTCTGTAACAAGTGAAGTTACCCAGCATGGGATCAATAAAACTTATTATATCTTCAGGTTGAGGTTTGAAAATTCTAGCCAGAACGTGGGATGAATGTCTTAGTGGACGACTTGTCAACTCGTGTCAACATCATAATTGGAGCAATGTCCTATTCAGAAAAAGATTGATAGTTAGATTATTGGTGTCCATGTAAAGTCAGCTCAAATCTGACTGCTCTCATTAGAGGATAACTAAAACTTTGGGTATTTACATGTTTATGAAACTCTAAACAAGGAGGTGGGTGTTGATACTCGCAGCTGTGACCACAAACGTCCTCCTCCGAACACCAAACGCTGCCCCCTCCCCACATATGAAAAAACGTCTCTTGTTTCATTGTCAGTTAACATCGTCAGTTTTCCAAACCCATATCTGGTGGCAGTCACTTGCTAATAAGCCCGAAGGGCCCAGAGGCCCAGCATCAACAGCAGGTGGATAGAGCAGCGTTCACTCATCTCCACACAGAGCTGGGAGTCCGAGAGGCTACTGTTACCTGTAGTAAGCCGAGTCAAAAATAACCTTGAGTGTCACATCTCTTTGATTACGCGGCAGGAGGACTCCAGCGCTGACCTGCAGCAGATGCTGGTGACAGAGGGCAGTGCTGAGGCGCTGCTGGAAGGAAGGAGCTGGTTCTGGATGGATGGACTCTCTAACATACTCAGGGAAAGTTCACGCCTTTTTCACAGGTTTCCTGCCTGTAACCTCAAATCCCACTTATCTGCTTCGGCGGCACAGGATCACATCCCGCCCCCGAGCAGAACCAAAAGACATAGGCTGCAGTCGGATAGTCAAAATAATCTCCTTTCATAACCACTTCTCCTTGACCTCGAGAAAAAATGTGATGAGGTTAAGGAAAGATGCAAAAGAGAAGCCGTAAGGAGTTATGAAAGGGGAACTGGAGCTCAGACGATCATGTGAGGTGCAAATATAATGTGTCATTTCAAATGTGTGGTATTTTCTCCTATCCTTTATGAAGAATGGTCCAGTGTTTCCTATGCAGATAAGGAATCATTGAAGACCATTTTCTAACTGTTTTGAAAATGTGAACAGCTGTTATTAATGGCGGCTGCTGAAATTCACTCAGTTAGGAACCTTCCAAAGCAAAATTGACTTTTGGAACGCACCCTGGATCTCAGTCTGTAAAGTCAGGAGATGTTCACCAAACTGAACTACACTAAGCAGAATCATTAGCAGCTCCGAGATAAACTGCAATGGTTCCATCAGCTTCGAACGGACAACACTGTAGGTGTTTAATGTTGTCATGGTAACGCTTGCACTATCTCCATCCACCCTACTGCTTCGAATTCTCTGCCTAGGCTGCTAGTTTTTAATCCTGATTGAAACATACCTGTCCAGTAGATGTCCTCAGCGAAGTCCCTGTCTCTGTGTGCTGCTGACCTGACCTGAACATCTCGGCCACCTGGTTGTGCAACTTCTTGTTGGTTTACAGTCAATATAATTTATTTCTGCATCAATTCTTTCTTTCCTTCCTCATACCTGTGGCTGAGATTCTGTGTGTTACCTGTTGTGTCTGTGTTTAGTCCGTGTTTGCACATCAATCACGGTAGTTGTCTGTCCCTGTTAAATATATGAATAAAATATGAAATTACTATCAGTAAAAGTTGTTCATGCAACAGCATCAGTACAGTTTCTTTATCTAACTACTTTTGTTGCCAGGCAACTTCCAGTACTTTATATTAGAAGCAACTTCACTGCCTGAAGTGATGTTCTATTCTGGAAATGGTTCAATATTTATACACAAGGGGGGTGAAGATATTTGAAACATCTATTTTTTGTTTCTGTGGAAAGTGTTACGCTGTCGACTGTACCAGCTTTACATATTCGTCATCAGACTGTAAAACCCTATGAGATAACTCCAGAAGACCAAAGGGCTTAAAGAGACAGCCATCATCACTAGTGAGTTTCCTGTAGCCTGGAAGTTACTGACGGTTTAGCACATTTTCCTTTAAAAAGGCAAATAATTGATTCATATTGAGCTGTTACTAATAACTTTACTTATGGCTCTGTTCTTTTTAGGTGCGTCTGTAATTTAAGACAGCAAGTCCCCAAACATGTTTTCCCCTAGTGGAAGGCTGCAGTACAGGCCACACACCCTGCCTCCTCCATGTTTATAAATCTAGAGGCCAAACTCTACAACAGCAATGTCCTTTATGGCTCAGATTGCTGGCACGTTGTGAAAGCTGTGATTTTCCTACCATGACTTTGTAGGAAAACCAGATGTATAAATCAGATCCCAAAACAGAGTCTGTGAAAACAAATCAGCCTGATTATGCATTTGCAGCACAATGGCCACATTT